TTGGCCAGTTCTAAATTATTCCTACGTGGCGGCTAGTAATTGGCTTACTGGCCGTATAAAATTTTGTGCGACTTCCGCCCAAGTCGGAGAACTTTGAGCACGCTGCAGAGTGCCTCTAAGATATCTGACTTGCGGCTGAGCTGATCGATAGCCTGATCACCTATCGATTCTTCTCCCCGTCGCCGAGCGCAGTCCTTCGACGTACGCTTTCCCTGCCAGCTTAATTTGTGGACGGATTAGCTGGCCTGAGCCTTGCCAGCTGGAGCAACTCGTGGAGTTGTTTAAGTGACCGGACCACCTGCGTCGCGGCTACTAATGGCGTAAGTAAAGTTTTTGCAAGCAATACGCTTTGTCTGCCTCTCCATTCACCAGCCTGCCCAAACGACCGAGCAGTTTGTATATCACCTTGAGTCGGCTCCGGCCGTCCGAGACACTCACCTTCTTCACATCCCTGTTGGACTACAGAAATGTAATATACCCAAGCATGAAAATTTCAGAGCTTAGGAAACTGGTGCAAAGACTGCAATGTCTTTCTTCAGAAGCACAAGCTGCCATGAGTACATTGGTCCTCTCCTCCACCCTCTAGACAGGTTTCCCACAGAATTTGGAATTAAGTTCAAAAGTCTCCATCTTTATCTGTAAGCTGTTCCATAAAGTGGGCCCAAAAAATGTATCTAAGGTTTTGGGATGAAGATTTTGGTTGACAACTATCTTTTTCTGGCAGAAAGAAATGCGATTTAAAAAAGGGCAAAGCTTGTGAACACGAGAGAAAGAACTGGGACTAGACCAAGTTCCTCTAGGAATTAAGGGTCAGCACACAGCTCAATTTTTGTGCACAGCATTTTTGGACCTACTTCTCCTGGGGAGAGGATGGAACCAAAAATAAAAAAACTTATGTATTTTTAAAAAGATGGCCAGAGAAAACACACCATTGCACAAATTTCTTCCACTTGGGAGAGGATTAAAGAAACAATGTGCAATAGAGCTTAGTCATGTTACTTAGACTCCTGGAAAGCACTCTCATGCTCTGGTGATGAGCAAGATTTCACAGCCTACAGAGAACAAAATAGAATAAGCTCTTTTACTCCTCCAAAACAGAAGGGAATCCTCCACAGTAAAACTGCTCCCTTCACTTTGCCTTCCTCCAAGGAAAACAATGAGTAAATATATGGATTTTGCCCCAAAGATCATCATGTTCTGATAATTTCACCCAAGAGGAGCTGAACTCAATCATCGCTATCTAGCTGGACAAACACGAACACCAGGTTTGAGCACCTGAAATTGATTTCCGTTGAGAAAGAATACTTAAGAGGAAAGTTGTCTGCTCATAACAAGGAACCAAACTGAAAAAGAACCTCAAGTCAAAACACATCATCTTGAATAGCATCTGCAAACAAGCCAGAGTGGCCTGCAGATAACTAGTGTAATACATTCCAGGATGAACACAATAGTAACATGGTAAGTAATAGGAGGCAAGGTTTCTAACACATGAAGTTAATGAAAATTCTTCAGTATAGTCCCAGCCAGAGTAATTTAAGCAAGAGGTAAAGGAAACAGACAACTAGCAAGATGTAGATACAGAACCCTATTTTTAAGCAAACATTGGGGAAGAATTACCCTGGGTACTTCTATAGGCATCTCAATACCATCCTAAAATATAACAGATTACGTACCTTTCTAACAAAACTCCACTTAGGTTGCGATCTTTGCCACTATCTTATCTTTGGTAATCTATATCCAGACTGTGGAAAAATTATTTCCCAAGCCAATCCAGGTCACCTCTTTTGTTTAGAGATTTTTGGAAATATTCAGCTTTAGAATGCCTGGATATATTTCAGTATAGCAGTCTACAGAAAAGAGACTTGGGGTAATTACACAGTCCTTGCAATGTTCATTCCTAATTCTTAAACATGTTATTTGAAAAAATAGAGTTAGAAAACGAACCACAGATTAATAGGTTTACAAAATACCTTACAACTCAAGGGATGAGAAAACATATTACCCCAAAATGCTATTTGAATGAATGCAGTTGCCACAAGGCTGGTTGCCAGGGTGAGATCTGAAAGGAAATGCCTGTGTCATCATGGTGCTCTTAATGACTACATATCTCCCCTTGCCAATCAATTATCCTGTGTAAAACATGGAAAGGGTTCGTGGAACAGAGTTTTAGCATAGAAAATAAAGTGAGGGAAATCTGGTTTCCATTTGAGTAACTGTGTGTTAAAGTACTGACATGCCACCCCAAAGTCCTTTATTTCCAATCAAACATTACCATTCATATTAGATTACGGAGAGGGGAAGCGTTCCAACAGGTTTTTAACTTCAAATCAAGAGCCAGAGTAGCCAAAAGAATCTTTCATCTGAGGGATGACACCTCAGCGTAGCACTGCAAGTACGACAGAGCGGTCTCACTAGGAAATAAGTTTTACATAATTCTGGTTCTTGAGACAATTCTCCCAAGTGAATGCTAGAAATTTTTCCAGTTGTTGCCCATGAGAATATCCCATGTTTGCGAGTGCAGGTTTAGAAGCATGTGTACACATCATTGACTTCAAGCCCTCATAAACACCGGTCAGATTGTCACTCTCTTGCCATTTATTTGAGTGCCTACACCAACAATCAAACAGAAATTAGTTGCCATGATCCTCATCTTTGATTCGTTGTCCCAAACACTCCAAAATGCTACTCCGTCTTCCCCACTCGCACCCCAAATGTTGTTACAACACCACACGCAAACAATTTCTTCTGTGTTATAGCAGAGTTTATTTTAATATTTTGTACAGCTAGCATTGGTCTCAAGTAATAAGTTATAAGTTTACATAAGTGAATACCCTCCCACCCCTTAGGAATGTTCAGCTTCCACCATTTCTAATTTATAGGGAAATTATAGGGCAAGAAGTTACATGAAAAATGGAAATGAAACCTAATTCATAAACAAAATTCCCTGAAAGCTCTTAAGATTACCTATATCTACTTGGATTCCATAAAACGAGTGCAGAAGCCACATCTTCCACAGTTACACTGACAGAATATTCATCTAACAAACTGTTCTTTTATTTTGGGACAGCCTTATTTTTTTGTTTAATTTTACATCATAAGCTTCTACGATATAGAGAGATACTTTACAGGCCTGTATAGACAGTCAATGTAACAGATTTCTCTGCAAGTTACTACCCTTACTTAATTCAGTTGTTTTCAGTACCACGTTTCAAACTTTTCTTAATGTGGATTTTGTTTTCTAACAAACAGACAAGAAAAACTGACTGCAACAGATATTCCCTTTAAGTAACAAACAACACTCAAAACAAATAAATACTTTAAAATCCTTCAAGTGGCAACAATGTACATACTTGGATCCAAGGCAGAGCCCTGTTACTTATTATGTAAAAAGCATTCCAAACATTTCTTCAGTAGCACGCCAAACATCCTAGTCAGCCACAGGTACCATCTTCCCTGGCTTCCTCTGAGGTTAAAAACAAACAAAAAAAATCTTAGCAATAACTTCAGAAAAATGTTTCTCTTGCCCATACAAAGGTGTCTCTAAGATGATCATGATTTAAATTTTCTAGCAGAGATAAACAAAGAGGCTGTATAAATGTTTCCTTCTTCCTCACTACAAAGCATTCTGTCAATAATCCTGAGCAAGTTCAAATAGGTCTAGGGAAACAAGAGATAAGTACCAAGGGCAAGCCTCAGGACTTTGAGGTCAAGATATATAGATGACCACAGGGGAAACCAAGGTTTGGGGCTAATCCTGCCTTCTTCTACTCTAAGGTTGGAAAGTTTTTAGATCTCTGCAGATATCCAGGCTGTAGCCATATCAGTCTAGAGGCAAAAGGAATCAGAACTTGTAGTAGAGGCGATATCTTTTATTATACCAACTAGATTTTTCAAAAAAAAAAAAAAAAAAAAAAAAATTATTTAATTGCGATTAAAGGATTTTCTCTAGTTGCAAGTAAAGACTTCTTTGGCAAAAATCTAGTTGGTCTAATGAAAGGTATCACCTCTACCACGAGTTCTGATTCCTAGATCTCTGCAGAGCTTTCAGCCTCTTGGGAAAGCAGTTGCTATATCACCTGCAAGTACTTCTTTAGCACACAATTGATTGGCTTCACAGCCTTCTCAGCTTCCACAAAGGATACTGTAATGCTGACAAGTTAGTTTCACTGCCAGAGAAAGGTGAGACTTTAGTCTTGACTGCAGATAAGGAGAACCCAGACTTCAATATTTAGAGTTGTTTTCTTTTCAAACCAAATTAAATAAAGTAAAATAAAGAATTAAACTCTTAAATAACCACCTTAAATAGAAAATAAAAATCTAGCCCCAAGAAGTTCAACATTATTTTTCAGACTACTCTGAAAGCCTCATTTTATGTCCAGTAGGAAATGTAAGACCTCTTAAAGATAATTTTTTATATGTCAAGAGAAATAGTACAACAAACAGGTTTGCCGTCCCTTTTTCAAAGGAATCAGTATTTGTGGCAAAACAAAATTCATGGGGAGTTTTTTTTTGTTTTTATAGATAGAATAAAGACTGCTGAAGCCATGTAAACTTTTAGCCACATACAAATGAACTAACGTAGCACCTTACTCCACAAGAGCATTCCTAGATGCTTTACAACACACAAAAAAAAAAAATAAATAAAAAAAAATTATATAGATATATCTATAGATATATCTATATATATATACATACACATACATACACACACACACACACACACACTTTTGCGTGTAGGTCTTCCACCCGTCAGAGATTCTTCTGATGTCATGTAGTGGTTTTTCCTTTAATGATATCCCAGTTAGAACAAAGCAAACCCATTTTTTTGTTTTTAGCAGGGTTTTTTTTTTGTTTTTTTGTTGTTTTTTTTTTTACATGTTCTGTATATACAACCTTTAAAATACACTTAAAAATAGCTGCACACATTTTATATCTCATTATATACTAAAGAAGTAGTCCAGACAGACGATGCTTCTCAGCACGTTAAAAATTTTAACTAAAACCCAACCAGTTTAATTCTCCTCTGGTACCCACACTGGCCCAAAGGAGGGAAGGAAGGAACAAACGAGCAGTTTTAAAAATGGGAGTCTTTCACAAAACACGCTACTTACAAATCTCAGGTTAATTTCCTCAACCACTTCTATCAAATTCTTCCTTAAGTATTTGAGATCACACACTACCATCTCAGCAATGAAACCTGTTGCAACATGAATGTGTCAACTGCCCACTCAACCAACTGTAACCCTGAGGATTTTTCTGGCCTGGTAGAAAGAGGAAATGTAACAATCCCTGCAGTATGGCTGGTCCTCCGCAGCAATCCACTATTTTCCTAGATGTTTCTTGGATATGCATCCATGCGTTAATTCAAATTTGAGTTTCCCTCTAACCAACATGCAGATTCCTCCTCCAAATCATCCACATCCAGATGTCCCAAAGAGCCAATCAATGTCATCCATCTAGAGGCTTTCCTAAGTAGACCAAAGTCACCTCTGTATTGCCATACACAGCTGACACTGCTGGATACAGGCAAACCTTTGGCAATCCTCTGAATGCAACTCCCAGGAACTCATAGCCGCGCTCAAAGGCTAATGTCTTGTCTTCCATGTCTAAGATGACTCGAATCCTCTCACCTATCTGCAGCGAGAGAGAGAGAGAGAGAGAGAGAGAGAGAGAAAGGAGATAAGAAAAAAAATCAGATAACAGTCAAAGAGAAACAAAGGATAAATAAACTAAAAATAGCACATGGAGAGCAGAACAATAGATCTTATAAGAAAAAACCTCATTTAGAATTCTGTGCATCTTTTTGGTACAAATGCTCAAAAAAGATCAATTGAATGGTGTTAAAAAAGAGCCTCTGAGATGGTTAAGGGAATGGAGACCTTCTCTTATGGAAGAAGATTAAAGGAGCTTCGTTTGCTTAGCCTAACAAAAGGGATACCAAGAGGAAACGTGATCAGCCTTTACAAGTGCATTCCCAAGGAAGTGAATATTAGGAAAGGAGAAGAGCATTTTCAGTTGTAAAGCATCACCAGCACAAGACCACAACAGCGATGGAGAATTTAAGACACAGTTGGAAATCTTCTGATTTCCTCTCAGAGAAGTGGTATTTTTGGAATGGTCTTCCAAGCAAAGCAATGAGGTGAAACACTTTTAGAGTGAACTGGATAAGTGTATAGAAGGGATGGGATGGTAAAACGGAGTTTTGGCTTAACAATTGGTGTAAGATGCATGGAATCATTTAGTTTCACTTTCCACATTGGACTATAGATGTAACTCTCCTTCAGTGTAATCAGTGTCTGGTAATCACGTATTTCAGAGCTTTCACTGACTGCCAGTAAGGAGAAGCAAGCAATCCCCCCCCAAATCCTATTGACTTGTGGAAGGAGGTGGAATGAGTTTCACCTTCCTCTGAAATACTGGAACATTGGCCACAGCCAAGACTGTGGGTTTTTGACAGGAAAGCAGTGATGCTCCTGTCAATGCTTAAAAAAAAAAAATTAAAAAAAAAAAATCAGAAGTTCCTGGTTAGAAGTTCTTGCTCTTCTGCTCAGTCATACTGACTGCCAAATATGGAGTCATTTTTTCCTTATGTCAGATTGACACAAGTTGTAGGGGTCCTTGCTTTCCTCCATAGCATGGGAAATGGTCTTTTTATTGGGATCTTTTGAACATTCACTAAATTATTCCCTGCAGTTGTAGCCTCATTACAGCATCAAGGCATTGACAATGCCAACACCTCTGCCCTGCTTTTTTCTATGCCTCTATGGCAGGGGAGGGCAAAATCCAGCCCATGGGCCAGATCCAGCCTACAATGGACTCTATTTCCCAGCAGCCCCTGTGGCACCAGCTCCTTCTGGCTGCTGCTGCCAGACCCAGCCCTGATGCCTGGGCACCCTGGCCTGTCTGCCCCACACCCACCACCAGGAGTGGGACCCAAGCAGGCAGGGTGCACACCTGGGAAGCTGGGATGAAGCCATGGCTGGGAGTGAGACAAGTGAGTGGGGCTGGGGAGATCACAGGATCTTGAGGCACTGACAGTACAGGGATGGGGCCAGGGCACAGCTATGATCCACTGCCTGCACATTCCTGCACCAAGTATGGGTTCACAGACAGGGGCATGCAAGGAGTGGATCACGGCTCTGCCCCGGCCCTGGCCCCTTGCTGTCACCGCCCCAAGATCCTGGCCCTGGAGCAGGTCCCTACCCAACTGCGTACCTGGGGCTGAGGCAAAGCCCCAGTTCTGCAAGCAGGGGTGTGCAGGAAGCACACTGCAGCTCTGCCCAGGGCCACTCACTGTCACGGCCCTGCAATCCTGGGTCTCCATGGAGACCAAATGGGAGCCACGCAGGCAGGGGCTGCCAAGAAATGGCAGTCCAGCCATGGCCAGATCCTCCATTTTGCCCACCCCTGCTCTACAGTATGTGATAGAGTGTTCTTGGTGTCCTGGGTACTCTGCCTTGTACATGTCTGTGAGGGTTTGAGGTAGAAATTCTGGGACTTCTTTCAGTAAATGAGTCTCTGTAGGAACAGAGGACTAGACTCAATGGCCAGCAAGCCCCTTCCAGGTCTATATTTCTATTCTTCCAGAGAAAAATGAATGCATATCTTGAAATCCATCAATTTCACTGATGCGCAAGAGATTCTGATTAGCTACACTCAATAGCTGTTTCAAGCAGACAGAGTACATACAACCCCCACAATGCTATAAATACCAAATGTTACCTTTACGTGGAAATGTCAGTAACCCTAAAAATTAACATCCATCTATTCATTCTGTAGTATATGGCAACTTTGTAATTGCCTCCAACCTGCATTTCTCTTGACAGCATATGCCTGTTAAGAACTTGTGGTTAAAAGTCTTTGTAGATTTTAAAGCCAAAAGAACAACTTGAGAAAGTAGGGGGCATATGCAAGATGCATTGAACAATTTTTTGGATATGCCTGTGCTTCAAGTACCACAATTGATCTTTTATTTACCAACACATCAGGATTGCAAATATTTTGGACAAAAACAAATGGGAAAAACTGAAAGAAAAAAGGTTATACAAAAGCAAAGGATACTCGCTACACCTGGAAAAAAAACACAGATCATCATATAAACATGATGCTGCATGCCAACTTATTTACCCACAGTGCAATTTTGAAATGTAATTAGGTAACAGCCCCCAACAGCAAGCAGTAACAATATTGTCTAGGATGTTGTGGAAAAGTCAAACTATCCTCCATGTAATCTCCTTTAAGCTCTTCTTCTATGTAAAACAACACTAAAGAATATATACCTTTTTCACTTTTTTTAGAAACAGAAAAATGTTATGGGCCTTATTTTACAGAAATATATTTCTAAGAACAGCAACTTGAAATTCAATCAAAATAAAAATAAACCAGTTGTTACATACTCTACAGCCTTGAGTCCCCAAGAAAACTTCTGCAGTTTTATAAAATATTGCTTTCCTTATAAAGGCCCAAACACAAAGAATCTGAACACAAGTGATAAATGGGGAAAGAGACTATACACAGCTGTGTCAAATGCATGAACTGAAATGAAAAATCTTCAATCTTTTCCGTTCACAGGCGTTTTAGGTTTCTACTGTTAAAAACAGGAGGCACAAATCTCAGAGGGAAATGTAATTTAGACTTCAGTGTCCCTATTCAAGATCATCTTCACTACACTAATCAAAAAAGCCAATTTCTACTTAAAGTGGGTTTTGGGGACATTATACAGAAAATTATTAAAAATCTTCACCCACCACTGATATGCTACCACCTCTAGACTAAAAACAATAAATAAAATCACAAAAACATTACCTGACAGAATGAGACAAAGAGTATACTGCACATAATTGATACTGTAGGTAGAATATAATTATCCTAAAAATAAAGCTGGGTCAGATCAAAGCTAAATATGGAAAAAGTATCACATATGCTAATTACCATAAGTTATCTAAACCTCAATTTTGTTTTATCTGAAAGATATCACCTCTAAAGAGTACTAATTACTGAGTAAACACCATTTAGCATTACACTGGATTCTCCTGGTGTGTGTGTGTGGGGGGGGGGGGGGGGGGGGAAGGGTCTACCCAAGTACCAACCAGAAACACTTCACACCAGGAAGCATTTCCAGAAGATGTAATACTTATTTGATATAGCAATGGGTAAACTAGAATATTCTAGTCACCTCTCATTAAAAAAAAATAAAAATAAAACAGAAACAAGATAACTGCCTTTAAATAAGATGCATACACATAGGATGATTTAAGATTTCGGATAAAAATCGTGGTCTTTTATTTTCCTTGAAGGAGATCATTTAGGTTTCAGAATTGTCTGAAATTCTTAATACATAGGGAAGAAATCTAAAAACAGGGCAAAGCAGAAAATGGGTAACAAGGCAAAATTATTACCCTCATGAGGTAAGTAGGTAACTGGTGTAAGCTGCCTAGTAAGACCACTTCAGGAGACAGCCAGACATTTTCATAAAAAAGGAAAAGTGACGCACTGAAAACAAGAGGTGCACTAATACATTGGTCCCATATCAGATTGGCACTGATATAAGGAAAAAAAAGTGACAGTAAAGGCAACTGGCTTTTTTTGGCTAATGTGCTCAATAACATGGCCAATAAATGCCCTGTGCAGGCGCAGCACACAGGTGGCAAGGAGTGCAGCCGGGTTTAGCTGGTAAGTCTGTTGTGAGTGAAGGGGGAGAGAGCATTGAGGGGGATGGGGCAGATAGAGGGCCCAGCAGTGAGGAAGGGAGAGGATTGGGTCGGGGCAGGTGCCACCCAGCCAGGGTGAGGTGTGGGATGGTGCCATGAGCGGCTCGTCATGGGGGCACAAGGTGGCTCCCGCTGCTGCACACACCCCAGAAGGGCATAGGGGGTGAGTGTGGGCTGTGTCGGGCTCTTCCCAGTGAGGGGGAGATTGAGCCGGGCTGCCCAACCTAGCCCGCTGCTGGGAAAAGCCCAGTGTCACCCCAGCCCCAGGCTCCCCTCACCCCATGTGCAGATCCAGGGGCATACCTCCCCCATGCCCTCCTGGAGTATGTACAGTGGCGGAAGCCCCCCCCCCCCCCGACGCGACCAGCC